GCCGATAATTCGACCTTCTTTAATTCGATTTATACGTTAATTCGACCACTGGTTACAGAACATTTTTTGACATTTATTATTATTTCTATTGTTAATTGACGATAATTCGACTTGTACGTTAATTCGATCGATAATCTCGGAACGCAAGCGGTCGAATTATAGGCAGTTGACTGTACCAATGCAAAACAAACCTTAATAGAGATATCAATGGTGCTCGGAGCCTATTCCTTTTTATTACCTAATTTAGACTTTGCTTAATGTGGTTTATCAGTAACGATAGGTTTTAATGTAATGGGGCGTTACCCAAATCACGATTATATATTTTGTAATACGTGAAGTATTACTATTTACACATGACGTAACTTGATTTCAAACGGGTTTTTATGATGCTGCGCAAGACCTCTCTCTACATCCATGAACAAGTGCTATAAATATAGCATAAATAAAGATATCGATTGATTGTCAATTACAATCATAATGACTGCATTACCACCCGGTAGCAACGGGCCTTCTATCACAACTTCTAGCTCTTTAACACAACTATTATTCTTCGACACTGTAACAGCTAATTCTACCAACCATGAAGATCCGCCAACAGAATGTATAAGGTTTCACCAGCGCGTTGTATTGTCAGAGATTAACATAGTTCCCAAAAACTTCAAACCATTTCAGAATACACGCAAGAGTAATTTTGTTGGGTTAGTATGCGCCTTGATGTTTTTGGAATAATGTTAGCGGTTATGTATGCTATTAAGTAAGAGTCTCCTCTATACTCTTATAGACAAACCTCACCACCAAAGTTTGATCTACACCTCCTAATTCACAAAACTCTGACAGCTGAACAGCAAAAGTCGCAGGATAAACGTTCCGTTAACTTGCCTTTACATCCGTTAACGATATCCTATGATGAACGACGAGGATTTCAAAGTTACGACGTGAAGTTATCACCGGAGGTATGCTGTTATAGATATAGCATAGGCATATATACTCTATACGCTATGCGAAGCATTAGTATGACGATTAAACATTTACAATTCTTTGTTACAGGCAACCACGCGTTTTATCATTCTCAGAGGCAACTATCAGGCAGTGACGTTGTGTATATATGGTCGAGTGTTGGAAAGTACCAAGACATTGAATACAAAGAGTAAAGATACGCCTGTCTCTATTGAGCTACCAATATCTTCTCAGAGAATGGATCAGTTGCATGCATTGAGAAATAACGGAGAAATTATAGTGGTAAATAGATAGCAGCTAGATAGGTTCTTTGTCAAGTCATACATTGCTTAATCCCGACTATGCTACTTTTCCCGTAACATGCATCAATTACAATACTGTTGTATACTATAGTACTCCATATCACCTGATGAAAATCTTTCAACTCGAACGTTGAGATGTTTCTTGGAAGACGACTATCAGATTTCTTGGAAATTTTTGCAAACATATACGCAACAAGCCAAATCTATGATTGACATTTTGGATAGAGATGATTTTGATCAAATGGACATTGAAGATCCTTATATAAAAAACAGTAGATATAATTTAACAGAATTATTGAATCAGATTGCTGATGTGATAGTGGAGGGCTGTGTATGGGCCCTGAATCATGAAGAATCCTATGTTGGTAAGTATTTGTATCTGATTGATATTGCATTGATAAGTGATTTATTTGTTGATTATGACTCTTATCATCCCATGTTTCACTACACTTAATATTAAATCGTTGTACAGATGTATTAAATATCACTGAAAAGGCTATATTGTTTGGATGCGATTTGCCATCTGGAAAGGTCACTATTTTTGCTTTTGTTCTCATGTGTTTGTGTATTATTTTTTGTTAATGCT